ACAACTTCCATCTGCCCAAGGCAGAATGATAAGGTATTATAATATCTAAGGAAATCAGATTACCTTCCCTTACGTTAATGAAGGTATTTATATATTTTATTATTATCCAAATTTATTTATGTATGTTATTATTTAAATGTATTAAATCCTATAGGAGCCCTGGTGGCGCAGTGGTTAAATGCCTGTACTGCAGCCACTCATAGACCACAAGGTTGTGAGTTCAATACTAGCCAGGGCTCAGGCTAGACTCAGGTTTGCATCCTTCCGAGGTTGTTAAAATGAGTACCCAACTGTTGGGGGGCAATGAGCGTACAGTTGTAAACCACTTAGACATCCCATAGCGCGATATGAAGCGGTATATACATGAAGCTGCTTTGCTATATCACTAAATTGCCTCTCCAACCAGCTTCTTCCTCTGGAGCTTACCTAGGACAATAGAGCAAAAAAATAAAAATCAATGGGTCTGTCTTCTAGTTGCTATCCTCTTGGGCAATATCTATACTGTTGATGTTAGCTGTTATCCTAGTCACCAGGCCTAAAACGTCATTATTTCCTGAGGAGAAAGACAGACGGTGTCCCTTCTCTGTTGTAACTACAGAAGCTGACCAGACCGGCAGCTAAGTCTGCTTTGACATGGATGATGGGACAGTTCCATCCACCATTTCTGAGGCCAACCAGCTAAACTTATGGAGTGCAGGACAGGATCATACCATTCATACTTAAGGAGTGCCTGGATTATACCATTTTCTTCTTCAGGGGAGAGGAGCAGCTTCAGAGCTCACACTGTTGACCCGTCCCTTTTGGGGCAGCTGCCCCCCTCTGCTTAACAGTAGGAATGGCACCACTAAGTGTCCTTATTTGGATGTATGTTCTACTGAAATCAGTGGAAATTAATTCAAAGTAATTGTGAGCAGGATCAACTTTTGAGGTAGTGTAATAGATGCTTCTCCCAACTCAGGCTGGCTGTGTTTAGGAGTGCCCATAAAACAGAGGATTCATAATTGAAATGGGTTGGGCTGACTAGATGCATCTGATTTTTGTTTAGCTGGAAGCTTAATTCCTTCCTTTTCAAGTTTTGGTGTTATACATAACTACTTTGCCTCCTCTTTTTTTAGACAGTACTGTATTTAAAATGTGTGTATTTTATAGCAGTATTCCACTGCTGGACATTATGGTGCTGCCACACACCTGAAGGTGTCTGCTTATTTCCCCTCCAGTGCAATCATGGAGTGAATGTAGTGCTTTTGAAACAACTTACCAGTGGTCTTCTTCTGAGATTCTTGTTTCTCTTTGCCTCAGCTGAATGAGCATTTTCTCTTGTTCTCTCTTGCAGGCACTCACAATGAGAGGGGACATGCTGTTCCTCACCGCGCTCCATGCCACGCTTCTTGCTTCAGCCCAAGTTACAGCTCAGAAAAGGGGGAGAAGTAGGTGGATCCTTATTGACATAATGTTGTAGGATAGCATATCATTCAGAACAAATGCATTACAGGCTTAAGATCATGAAGCACATTTGGTTAAATTGATCTGGGACAGCAGGCTATGAGGTAGAAAACTTTCTGCTTGAGAACATGGAGAGTCACATACAATCAAAAAAACAGCAAGCTTTCTTGTAGTGTGTCAGAACATTGATCTATACGTGGCTGGGAAAAGATATTTGAGGGACTGAGTTCCCAGAATTCCGCAGTCAACATAGCCATAAGTCATAGTGGTTGGAGGTTCTGGGAGTGGCAGTCCTAAAAAGTTATCTTTCCCAGCTCTGGCCATGTAGGTCAGTATTTTCAGCACTGACACACAGTGGTCCTTCTAGGCTTCTGACAAGGGGGTCTAGACCACCAGCCCTACCTGAAGAGTCCAGGCATTGATCCTGCAACTTTCTGTATGCAAAGCAAATGTTCTGCCAACAAAGATGCCTGGTCTGACAGTGGATAGTAATTTCTTGTGTCTGTTGATGCATGATACTTTATGGAGTGGGATTAAATCATATTACCCAGGTTCCTGCCATAAAAGAATATAGTCTTAATTATCTGCACAAGTAAGGTAAAAAGAAATGCATAGCCAAAGACAGAGCATGGGGAGGAAGGGAAAAGACCACAAGGAGCTTCCTACACTACTTAAGAGTTCATGTTAAGGACATGAGAATTGGTTTTGGTTTCATTGACTGCTGAAAGGAGCATGTGTCCATTCCCTCCCATTATCCTTCATTACCCCTATTTTCTGATCCTTTTTTTTTAACTTGCTGTAGGGTTTCTGCATTGGTGTTTATATTTTGTTAGGGAAAGAGCATGGTATTTAGCTACCTTCTTTCTACCACTGGTTTTTTAGTTTTTCCTCTGGCCTGAGTGTTTTCACATTGAAGCACAGTTTGTATGTTTGCTAATTTGCTACCTATCAGGAGTCCCATTGTTTCTTTCCTTTATGTTTTCTTCAGTTTTCTTCCATATCACAGAAGTGATATGTGCATATCCACTTCTTTTGCCTACTGATATTCAGGGGAAAGCAAGTCCATAGTTTGACTTATTTGTTTACACATAGAAATAAAGCCTCTTGTAGCTTCACTCAGAAGGGGTGGGCAACTTCACTGGGCCTGAATCCCATCCCAGTTTCTGCCCATCTGATTCCACCATGGCCCACTCATACTTTCCAACACATGTTGCCAAAATTCAGGGGCAAACTGTAACTAGAGGTGGCAAAAATACCATGTCTGGTTTCCCCAAACCACATTTTCTGAGTAAAACAAGGCGCATATAGAATATGTGCCTTGAGTTTCTCCAAGGCTTCTACCAGTCATTGCTTGTGGTGCCAAAGGCAGTGGGGTGGATAATCTTCTCCAGGTGTTATACTGAATGTTAAAGGAACTATCCAAGGTTCTAAACCCTATCTCCAAAATATGTTGGGCACCTTGGATAGATCCTTTAAAGTCTTGGACAAAACCCAGAGCCATGTGGAAGCCATCAGCCCCTGTTGCTCTTGGCAGTGTGAATTTAGCCTAAAATAAAGTATACATCTCCTGTTTTACCAGGAAATTGTCTTCTTTAAAACCATAACTCTACTAGAATCCGATGATTCTACATTGAATTTGTCAAGGGTAGCAGGAGTTCTGAGGCCACAATAATGGCCCACACTGAAATATTGAGGATGGATGTCTCTACAGTACTCAAGATTTTTTAGTTTTTGGAGAGAGATCTGCATTTCCCCATAGCACTGGGAGAAAAGCAAATCTTATGTGTAAATAACATCTCCCTCCCATCACAAAATGTAGGTCTTCTGTCTATTATTTGGTCTGTCACACAGTGTTATGAGGGAAAGAGGAAGGCTCTCACTGGAATAGTCCTTCTAAGGGGCTGTACAGATGGCCCCTAAGGGGCAACAGGACGCCGCCACTTTCCTTGCTGGATTGGGGCCGCAGCAGCCCCATGACATGGGCCCGATCTGGGCTTTCCACAGCACAAAAAGAAGCTGAAAAAAGCAGGTCCTTTTTGCACCGCAAAAAGGGTGTTCTACCTGCAGCATTGCGCCAAAGAAGTTTTCTCCACTTCTTTAGCGCAGCGCATGTAAAATTTTGCCACCCACTGTGCAATTGCTTGGGTGGCATGACACCGGCCTGGGAGCATAGTTGGGGTGGCCATGCCCCCACTCTGCCCCCATGCCAGCTCTTTATGCCAGTCTGTATAGCCCCTTAATTTCCCTGTTAGCTCAGATCCCGGTGGTCTTCCACAGTGCATATTTTTCCTTCTCCTAGGCTGCTTATTAATCCAGAGCTGCTGTCTCTTCTATAGAGTGGAGACTGAAGGTCAAACTTTGGATTTGATATGTGATGAGTGGGAAAACAGCCCAGGTAACCTGTTGGAATAGAAGTGTTTCTGCTTGCCCCAGTTAGATTTGGAGCTCCAAGTTGGATCTTTCTGATGACTTAATTGCAAAGGAATGTAATGTGAATGAGGCACTGAAGAGCTCCTTACTTTAAAGACACCTCAATGACATACATATATATTCCTATCTTTGTGAGTAGCTGAAAACAGCAGCAAAATATGTGACACCAGCCTGAGAATATACACAATATTTGCTAAAATAACCATTTTGGAGACTGCTGACCCATGTGAGACAGGGTGCAAGCCACAACCTGCTCCTGGCACAAAACTGAATGCCTATTGTGCATCTGTTTCATAAGTTATGGTGATGGGGAGAAGCCCTCTAACTCTCGTCTGTTCCTCTGCAGCAATCTGCACCAATGTTTACTTGGCTGACATCGTATTCCTGGTGGATGGATCTTCTAGCATTGGAAGGGCAAACTTCCGCATGGTGCGGTCCTTCATGGAAGGGCTGGTTGTTCCTTTTGTCAATGTGGTGGGTGAGAATGGGGTGCGCTTTGGAGCTGTACAGTACAGTGATGAGCCCAGGTGAGTCCCATTTTCTCTTGCCTTCAGTGTTAGTCATATCAGAAGAATCGATGGACAGCTGTTCTGTAAATGACCATGATAATTAAAAGGAACCATTATGTCTGGAAGTACTAGATCCCTGAATCCCAGATGTTTGGGCAAACAATACGCCCTGCAGGTGGGCTACTTAAAGGCATCAGACCTAGGGAGCTAAGGGGATAGTCACTGAATAGAAACTAAGGGGGGAAGCAGACGAGGGCGTCTGGGACGCCGCGGGATGGTGCGCCGCGGGACCACGGCATCCGCACCACGGCGCACCGCCGGCGCCCCTGAAAGGAGCGCTAAATCAGTGCTCCTTTCAGAAGTCAGTGAAAGTGCGGCCCAAAAGCGTAGGGCGCACTTTCACTGACTTATCCGCCGCAGCGTGTGCGGACGCTGCGGCAGGAGATTGCCCTCGGAGCGCCAGCCGTGTGGAGGGCCAGCTGCTCCGAGGGCAACCTCGGGAGGAGGAAGGGGCACCGAGCGTGCGGCTGCCCCTCCTCTTCCCTGCCTCCAAGACGGCCCAATTAGCCGTCTGCCAAGGCCTTAAGTCTGATCCAGCAGGGCTTTACTTCATAAAAATGGTCCATAGCATAGTGGTAGAGCATGTGATTTCAAAGCAGAAGGTCCAAGGTTCAATCTCTAGTACAGGGGTAGGCAACCTTTCCCCTTTAAGGGCCGAGGGACTTCAGCTCCCAGAATCCCAGGAGCTATTGGCCAACATGGGACTATTGGCTAACATGGCTGAGGCTTCTGGGAGCTGAAATCCCTCGGCCCTTAAAGGGAAAAGGTTGCCTACCCCTGCTCTAGCATCTGGAAGTAATCCAAGGAAAACTCCTGAATTTCAAGAAAAACCCTGGAAAGCCCATTAGTCATTATTAATAATACTGAGCTAGATGCAGTAGATATATGGCAGCTTCCTATGTTCTGATGTCCTTATCCAGCAGAGCTTTCAGTTGTTGTTATATGGGTTTGGAGTAGATTAATGCTGCTTGTACTCCTGGGGTACAGTCTTCAAGGATGGCTGCCCCAAATGTCAAAGAGAATGAAAACCATGCCCAGGATATAGAACCATTTTTAGAGCTAGTGAGTGGGTGGGCTTTGAGCTGCCTGCTCAGCACCACAAGCTGGGCCTAAAGGAGTATCTGATGTATTTCTTTTCAGCTCCAAGTCCACTGGGGCCATGAGATGACTCTTTTTAAAAAATGCATTCACAACATAGCTTCTTTTTGCATATCTAAGATCTGGCTGTTCCATTAATAATGTAATGCCTGAAAGCCATAAAGCCATCCTGTAAATACTACAGCAGAGATGGATTTGAAGTATTGGGTTTTCTGCTCAGCCTCCCCTCCCATTTCATTTCCTTTTTGATCTCAGAACGGAATTCACATTCTCCAAGTTTCTCAATGGCACAGACGTGATGAGGGCTGTCCGAGAGATGGCTTACAAGGGTGGAAATACACGCACGGGTGCAGGTCTCCGTTACGTGGCAGACAATTTCTTTGGATCCAATCAGCTGCGGCCAGATGTTCCAAAGGTACCATGAGAGAGTTGTCTTCAGGAGATGAGAGACAAGACAGGAGTACCCAAACATCAGGGTCATAAGCTTATAGGATTTCTCAGCTCTGGGAGCCTCTGTCAGACTCCAGCAGTATTGCAGAAGACACATAATGAAGTGTTCACTGTCACTGTCACTATTTCTGGGCAGGTTGAGAAGGAGAGAACTGCAAAATTCCCAAGATCTAAGTGCCTTCTGAGCAATATCTATCCCGCTTAAACTCTTGACTTAGGGCCTTTACAAACTGCCAGAAATAATCCAGTTTGAGACCACTTTAACTGCCCTGTCTCAGTGCTAGGGATTCATGGGAACTGTAGTTTATTGTGGCATCAGAGCTCTCTGACAGAGAAGGCTCAGTGTCTCAGAAAAAACTACAGTTCCCATGATTCTCTAGTACTGAGACAGGCCAGTTAAAGTGGACTCAAGTTGCATTATTTCTGGCAGTCTGTAAAGGCCCTTACTAAGTCAGGCAGCACTCAATAAAAATGGAAAGGTCAAGTATCACCCTTCTTCAACCTGGCCCTCCAGATGTTTTGGGAGGCAGCTCCTATCATCTCTAGTCAGCAGGATCAGTGGCAATACAGACTAGAAATGATGGGAGTTGCAGTGGGTTGCATCAGGTTGGGAAATTGTTAGTATGAAATTTATTTATATCTCACCCCCCCCCCCTACAATTCAAAGCATACAAAAGTGAACATTAAAATAGAATTAAACTGTTACAGTTTAAACTGTTAAATGTGGTCAGTGTATCAAATTCAGCAAATAAAATACATATCAGACTGCATAGAAAAATTTGTGAACATCATGGAATTCTACAGGTTGTTCTTTAGTGTTTTGAAAGAGATATGGCACTTTCCCTTAAAATTAGGCACACATTTGGCATCCTCTCACCTTTATTCTTGTTTCTCACTTGTCAGTAAAGATGGACAATTATTAATTCTCATGATGAAAAATGCAGTCCCCCTACTGGGAAGAATAATGGACCAGTGAGAATTCTGTATAATTTTCTCCTGGCATTCGTTGTCTGGAATCATTGTGCAAGAATCATTCTCCAGAGAAAAACCCATATTTTATTGCACAATCTCTCTGTTTTGTCCACTAGTTGAATATGGAAATGGGGAGAATGCTGTGGAGGGAGAAAAGGTACTTTAATTATTTGGGCTCACATGCAAGGATGAAACAGTCAAGGGTTTACATCTAGAGTTGTCAGACTATCTTTTTAAGTGAGGATACAAACTCTTTCTGCTGTTGTAGATTCAGAAATAGGCAGTAAGCTGGGGCTGCTTGTTTAGATGTCTCCACAACTTGTCTCTTTCCTTTTTTGCCCTTCAGATATGTATCCTCATAACAGATGGAAAGTCTCAGGATGAGGTTGAGCAGGCAGCACTGAAACTGAAGAGTCAAGGGATTAAAGTCTTTGCTGTGGGTAAGTGGCTTCCACATTCAGGATTGGAATCCTGCTAGAATGCCAGGTCAGGATTGCTCCAATGCTCTGAAATATCAGGGTTAAAACCTGAGACCTAAGAATTACCCTTGTGATGTCCTGGTGAGGTCATTAAACATGATACATAAGGCCACATCCACAGTTTCACAGAGTATAACATTCAAATAAAAAACACCAAAGCTAACAGATGAACTACATGTGTGTGTGTGTTTTTGTGTGTACGTGTGTGAATGAATGTACACATGTACATTGAAGCCAATACTCTCACCCTAAGATTCCCTGCTGACCCTGAGTACTGGAGAAGATCATGTAAGCCCTGAGATCTGGCAACCATAGGCCCAGCTAAGAACAATATTTACAGATCCTTTCTCCTCTATGCATCTCTCATACAGATATTTCTTCCTACAGTCCCTACTTTCTACTACTTCTACCCACATTCTGCTGTTGACTTTGTCCTGAGAGAGAACAGAACTAGATGGGTGGAACTGATTCATGTCTGCTTGCTACAATAGGACTAGGTGGGGAATAGGAACATTGCTAGCATGTAATAGGTTTCTATATTTATTAATCCTGGAAATCGTCCTCTCTCACAATTTTCATTAGTGCCTGAAGCCTATAGAAGTGTATAGCTGAAAAAGAGGGTCAGCCATGGTGCAGCTCTAATACAATCTTTGTAGAAAAAAAGTCTATAGTGACTGCATTAATGCATTGAGTAAAATGTTTTTAATGCATGTCAGTTTGCTCAATCCTTTTTCCCAGATCAACCTCCTTACACACACCTCAATAATTTTAAAACCTTAGCAGCAACCAGATTCCTTCAGCTATACCCAAACATACCTAAAACATGAAAATATGAATTAATAGTTGACCACTGGTTCTTTATGACAAACATGTGGAAATATCCCTTCCTTAACAAGTAAGAAGACAGTGAAAGCCTTCCAGTGCAGGCCACAGCATTATGTAAGAGAGGAGAAGGAAAGTACCTCATAAGAATAGAAGAAGAGACATACTGTATCAGACCAAAAGCCTATCAGGTTCAACATTTGGCTCACACAGTGGCAAGTCAATTTCCCATTGGAATCCCAGAAGCCTGAAAAGGGGGCAACTATTGCTTCCTGCTCGTGTTTCCCATGAATAGATAGATAGAAGTATTTTGTCTCTGGGAATATATCCATGATCAGGAGCCATTTATAATCTTACAGTAGTACTATCACCTAGCATGAGGTTTGGTTTGATGCCATAGTTATTTTAGCACTGCAGTTGCTATATCATCCATACTGTAGCCTGTTTGGATTTGTGGTGATTAGAACAGGGACCCAGCACATTCTTTACAAGGTTTTCAGGTATCATGTGTCTATATTGCTCACTGCAATCTCCCAACTGGATGCACTTAAGTTGTGAGAAGGTTTTCTTTAGCCTTTAGTGATTGACAGCATTTTTCAACCAGATTTGAATGAAGAGAACCCAACACATGAATATCAAAAAAGCAGAAGACTGAGAAGTATTTCCTTCAGGAATGGCCTGTGTTGAAGGCAATCCTCCCTTGCCTCTTCTTTCCCCAATTTAGGTGTCAAGAATGCAGACCGCAAAGAGATTGACAGAGTGGCTTCCACACCCACAGAAGATTATTCCTTCTATGTTGAAGATTTTAAAATTCTGGCATCTCTCCTGCCATTGGTGTCCCGGAAGGTTTGCGCCAGCACAGGGGGCATCCTGCAAACCCCAGGTAAAAGGCATTGGAGAGGGACAGTTGACATTCATCTTGATGTCACATTGCTAAGGTTTTTTGGTCTCTGATTCTGGCGGTTGCCAGGAACTATTTCAGTCTGACCTGGCTCTGTTTCCATGGAAGCACCTAGGCCCTAAGTGGTCCTGGAAGAAACTCTTGATCTAATCAGTGTTGATGCTCCACTAGGATGACTGACCTAACCCTGGTGTTGGTTTAACCTTGCCCTGCGGGTGGTCAGCAGTCAATCCCATTACTCTTCAGTGCTTGCTGGTGTCAACAGAGTCACCATTCTTCACACCCTTTCAACTTTGGGGAGGGGAAAACATAGCATTTCTGAAATTCTTAGGCTTTGTTCTCTCAATATATCAGGCTTAAGATGAGTTGCTTGTGTCAATAAGGAGGCTGATTTTCCCTCTCTGTTTTTCTTTTTCCTCTTAAGGCACACAGGCATACATTGGCCCTTCGAACCTGGTCTTTTTGGAGCAAGGTACAGACATGCTGAGAATCCGCTGGACTGCAGCTGGTGGTCCTGTCACAGGCTATAAAGTTCAATATGTGCCTCTTACAGGCTTGGGGCAACAAATCGTGGCTGAAAGGCAGGAGGTGAGCCTTTTTCTTATAGCACAATCCTGTATATGTTTACTCAGAAGTAAGTAAGGATGGAAAAGAGTTCAACTGAGGTTTAAATTCTTGATGAAAATATCCCATGTTGCAACTTCTGAATTTGTCCTAGACAAAGTATCCATTTTCTTGGGAAATTCATTTTGAGGTTTACGGTATATTTTGGACAGTTAAAATCTAAACAAAACCAGACTTGATAAAGTCTAAAAGTGGGATGAGAATGCAGATGGGCTTCAGAAAAACAGAACAAAAGTCATCTATTTTTGTTATCCCTGTCTTCACATCAAATAGACATAATCCATAGT